AAATGTGACAACCCCCACAACGTATAATAATTAGCATTTAATTAATTAAGGAGATTTGAATTTTAATTCCCTTTTATTTTAATTTAATCTGGGATTTATGAAAATTATAGAGAATGATTCATATATGATTCTATTGAGGATTTATTTTGGAATTAGATTAGGCTCAAGAGAGTATAATTGGAGAATTGAATTATTTTAATTTCAAGTATCGGACTATATGGGAGTTTAATTAAATATTCGATACAGTTTAATAAAATTGAGATTTTATTAAGTGGGTCTGAATTGGAGTTAATTAAGTTATGAAGATTGAGACTTAAGATTATTATGAATTAACTTTATTTATGAGATGTTCAATTGAATATGTAATTTAATAACGGAGATTTTGAATTTGATCTAAAATTGAAGGCTTTAAAGATTTGGGAAACCAAAAATTATGATGGCAATAAGTTTAATTTGATATTTGGAGCATTTTGAGAGTTTGATTAAAAATCTGATTCAAATTAATAAAATTAAATATAATTACTTGAGAATTAATTGAAATCAATTAGGTTAATTAAATTATGTGGAGGTTGCGATTAGTTATGATTAATTAAATTATGTACTGATCAAAATTTATTAAGATTAAGTGGTGTTTAATTAAACTAATGTGTGATTAGTATGCTATTTTTGTACTACTCAAATTAATTGGCACATTGGTGAACATTGAGAGAGTTCTAGAAAATTGGAGACGTTTAGCTAGTAGTGAAACAGGGAGTGTTCATTCTATTAGTTTTGCTGGAGCAAAAACCGTGGGAAAGAGAGAGAGAAAGACAGAGAGCTAAAGTTTGAAGGAGAAGAAGAAGCTAAGGAGGAAATTATCTATAGTTTCTAAAATTAAAACTTAAGGTATAAAATTTATATTTAATTTGTGTAGAATCTTTATATTACACTTAAAATTAAAGATGAATTTGAAATCAATGTCTTATAATTAGAAAGAAATTGGGTTTTGAACATGAAATGGGTTACATGTATGTTTATGGTTATAGAAATAAACTTAGTAATTAATTATTTTGGGTTTAATTTTAGATATGTTGCATGAATTTGAGTCTCATTTTTTACATGCAATATAATTTGGAGAAATTAAATAATTAATTCATGAACATGGATAAGATTAATAAATATAAAAATAATTGTAAGAAGTCTTCAAATTAAGCTTTGGTTTGGAAACCTTGATATATATGAGATGTATATTATAATATGAGCTAATTAGCATGCACCATAATGAGCTAATTAGCATGCACCATGAGTTTTGAAAGGATTTGAGCCACACAAGTTTATTATACATTTGATTTTAAAGAAGAGTTTTGGAAACCATGATTTTATGAAAATATGGGTTTTGATTTTGATTATTAATCCATGCATGCAATATAATTTAACAGTTTTATTTTATTCAATTTAAATTGGAACATTTATGTTTTGATTTTGAAACAAACAAAATTAGATTTTAATTACATACATACAAATATTTTTTTCCTAAGAGCTTTATAATTTTAATTTCATATTTTATAAGAAAAATGAAGAAAGGTTTGGTTTTATAATTTAAAATTAGTCATGGGTTCATGTTTATTAATGAAATTACATATTTAAATTGAATCAAGCATGAACCTAAATTTTGAAATAAAGTTTGAGAGCTAAATCTTCAGTTTTGAAAACTCGGAAAATTTACAAACCGCTTGAGTGACCAATTGGTGGCTCGAGTGAACATTTCGAACTTTCAGTATTTTTATAGACTGTGTAATCTGTTCGAGGGACCAACTGGTGGCTCGAGCAGTCAAGCCTTTTCAGCATATTTTGAAAAATTATTTATTTTTCATATTTTCATTCTCATTTTTTTCCAAACATTCTTAGGCATAAAATATGACCCATTGAGGATTACCAAGCTACGAACCAACATAAGTTAATTGATTATGAAGCAAAGTAAGAAATTGGTCTATTTGGAAAAAAAGGAATTAATAATGAAAGAATATGTAAAATGAGAACTTAATTTATTTGAGTAAGAAAGAATAAGCGTAGTAAAACTTTGGGTGACTTACACAAAAAAAGACAAGAAAAGTTAGGTTTGATAAAAAAAAAAAAAAGTGATATTATTGTGTTTCAATGTGTATTTGTTATGTGTTTGTATAGGTTACACGCACATGTCCGTCTGATCTATCTCTGAAGCTATCTGTGAGTAACAACCTTGTAAAGATATGTTCAATTATATGTATTTTCTGCCTGATATGATAAGCTTTGTTTTCTGAAATGATGGGTGTGTTTGGTTTGTGTTTATAGAGTAGTTTTTAAGATAAAAAGTACGAAAACTTGTTTGGTTTGCCTTTTTTCAGAAATGGTTTTGGAAAATTATTTTGGGGAGAGAGTTTTAAAAAAATTGATTGATTTGATGTGTATGAGAGAGAGTGTGTGATTTTGGAAAGTAAGTAACTGAACAAAATTTTGAGATTTTTTTTGAAAAATTTGTTTGCTTTGATTACTCTTAAAAATTTGTTTGTAAAGAATTTTTTTCAAAATTTTTTCTAAAAAACAAACCAAACAAGGCCGATATTTTCTGTATAGATGAATGATTGTCCTATTTTTGAAATGTCTTGTGACATCCTTAGCATTATGTGTATCTGTTATCTGTTGCGTGATACTAGGGTTTCACGTTGGTTCCATTCATGGAACTGACTACGCATAATCAACTATCTGATCTACAAGTGTGTCTTAATGGCCATCTCATATGAATATGGATCTTTATGATCACCTATTCTGCAATTGGATCTTTATAACTAATTTGATCTGTTAGCGCTAATGGATGTACCACATACGACTATTTACAAATTTGAATATGTATATGAATCTGTTTCTGATCTGAATTCTAATTTCTAAATTTGTTATGGACTTCATTCATCAAAACCTTTACTCTGTTGTTATTTACTAGGCTCCAGCTTACTGTACTCTTTACATATGTACATGATCAAGCACGTGACCAAGCCTAGAGCTTCTGCTTAGACTCTATCTTATCAACTAACCTATGTGCCTCCCGTGGAAGTTCCGGATATGTCAAGTGGTTATGGCTATGTGATTAAAGTTTAAGTTTTTGTTTATTCTGTAATTAAGGCTAAGTCCCTTTTTGTCTTATATGTATAAATGTGATGACGTAAGGATGATATATGATACATGTATATAAAGTTTAAAATTTTTCGGTCTCATATATGTTTGCACAGCTCAATGGACATTATATATTTGTTATTTACTTTCACTAGCCCCTAATAATTTGATTTCTATTTAAGAGGCCTTCGGTAATCTACGAATTGCTAGCCAGTTACAATGTTAAACCTATATGAGCGGGTTTGGGTCGTGACAACAAACCCCCTGATGGTGTCAATATAAAACTCGTAGACCCACCGGTCACTCTCAAATCATCAAGAAAACACTTATAAAAATACCCTCCAATATAGAAAACCGTGACAATTCTGCTCTCCTAGAATTTGGACAGCTTAAACCCTAAAAAAATAGCAAATGGTGCACTTTATAGTAAATAGAATTGCGAAGACCACTCAAGTAGTGTGAGTAAAGGCGGTGCAAAACATATAGGCTAACTGCTCAAGTGGTAAAATATCTTTCCCAGAAGTTCAGTTTGCAGGCAGAGATAGTAGATGCTGTTGTTCACCGCTCGAGCGTACAAATCCCCATATATAGTCAACGAAGTGGCAAACATGAAAGGCTTAAGATTACAAACTCCTTTGCATAAGTATAATTCAGATTGGATTCGCATCTAAACACTCACATCCTCACTGAAACAAAAGAGCAAATAAAATTATAACTGAAAGAAATTTTGTTAAACGGGATTGCCAATTACAAAAGCTAAACAAAAATAATTTTTTGTCACGATTTTTTTACATATGTCGTTAAAAATTAACAATTGGTAACTTTTTTTGTCACAATTTTTATAAATTGTCTCTAAAACTTATAATTAGTGACGTTTTTCTGTAATAAATTATTCAAACTACCGCTGAAAATTAAAAATTAATAACTTTTTTTGCGATGATTTTTTTAAAACCGTGGCTAAAATTATAATTAGTGACTTTTTTGTGACAAAATTTTTAAACTGTCACTGAAAATTAACAATCAAGATGTTTTTTAATACTGTTTGATAAAAAATGTCATTAATTCTCATAAGACCTATTAGATAATAAGTCCGCATATTAAAATCTACATATAAGTCCCTCTAAATATTTTTAGTAGAAATAATTTAATTTTTGTACAAACATAACCTATAGCTTCATTTTTTTTCTTTTTTCTTTTTTCTTTTTCTAAAGCTCCGTTACTAAAAGTCGGCAAAGTAGCTATGTATTTAAGGAAAAAGGTTAGGACTCCTTTTGGAGAACTCTCCTCACCTTCAATGCATTGTGATTGGTTAATTTTTTATTTTTTATTTTTTTTTCTCCTATCTTTGATTGACATGTGTCTGTAGAGATTGTAAGGATTAAAAAAAAAAAAAAAAAAAAAAAAAATTTTGTTTTTGAATTTGTATTATTTCTGATGTATTTAAATGACTTTCAACCCATTTTTAGTTTTGTTTTTTTGCCTTCAATTCCTCCTGTCATACACATTTAATTACCACCTTATTTTCTTTTTTTCCTTGTCCTTTTTTTATTTATTTTTGAAACTTTATTCACTTAAAGTTTTTGTATCTCCTAATATAAGTTGCCACATATTAAAGTCTTGCTTTCACATGAGTGATTATTCAGTATTTTTGAAATATAAATATGTGTTATTCTATAAAATTTTAATTGGTAGAGAGGAGTAGGGGCCTACTATTTATGTTGGGGACAAAGAAACAACATGAGACTAAATAATTAGTAATTGACTTAGAATATGATTTCTGCAATTATTGAATAATTTCTCCCTTCACACACCCATTTTGCATTTGTGTTCTTCTCTTATCCTCCTCTCTATATATACCAACCTTATCACACTCTCTTCTTTGTATCTCTCAATTTCTCAACCTTAACCAGCTTCTGTAAGAAGAGCAAAGATGTCTAAACTTACCACCATGTTCATCCTAGCCCTCCTCCTCTGCTTCTCACTATCCTACGCAGCTCGCCCCGTGCCAAACTCTCCCATGAAAACCCAGCATGAGGTAGGTTGCATCATCATGCCCATGGTTTTAAATAACAATATTAGAATTATACATATCAGTATCCACAATAGTCATATATCTAACTTATTGGCCGATATTTAAAACCCATAACTAAATTTGATTTTTGATGATGGGTTTATGATTATGATTAATGGGTTTTTTTTTTAGGGTCTTGAAGCTCAGCACGTTGAGGCGGCCATGGAAGAGAGCTGTGAAGGAGTGGGAGAAGAAGAGTGTTTGATGAGAAGAACACTTGTAGCTCACGTTGACTACATCTACACCCAGAAGCAGAACCCATAGACCATTTGCTCTGTTCATTACCTTCTTAATTAGCAATAGAAAATTAATATAATATTATAGAACTTAGTAGTATCAATAATATGATACTGTGATGATCAAAGATATGTGCAGTTTGGTTGTTTGGAATTCACTGTACTATAAAGCTCTGTTTCCTAATATTTTTAGAGAAGATGAACGATGTGGAGTTTTCTTTATCTTATTATAATTGAACAAACTCATTCTGCATCCTTTTTCTTTTCCTTTTCTAGATTAATCCACTCAAAATATCAAAAATCAAGATAATATTGTAAGGGGTTTTTTTAATATTATTATTGCAAAGTTTAATTATTTTAAAAATTGATTTGCTCAATATTAAGTTTATAGTAGCGTCGTTGAATAACTGAAAAAATCTTCTTCAAAAGAATGATAAAATAACATACTATTTATGTTCTGCGAAAAGAATGTCAATGGTACAGGAAGAAGAATATTTTCCTTTGATTTTTGGATTAAAATTATTTGTCATGAATTTTTCTGCAATGATTTTGTTGCGATAAATCAATGGTCTAAGTTATAATAAAATGATATCGTTTGAATGCAGAGTCTAAACATAACACAGGATATTTTGATATTACTCTATTTCAATTTTAAAAGACACAACATCATTTTAAAAAATAAATTAATAAATAAAAGATAACACAGTTAGAAGCACCGTCAAGACAGACAACGAACCTCAAACGATGAAGGTGTAAAGGAGAAGAAACGTGTTGAATTTCTCTGTACTTCATTGACAATTAATTTCTCTAACCTACCTCCAAGTGATAACATTCCAACCAAATCATTCTAAGAACATAATTTTATACTGATTCAAGTCAACTTGCTTGTGTCTCCTCTCTTTCTTAACAAAAACAGTAATACTATAAATTTAGAAATTATTCAGAAATATTAATATGTGGTTCAAATTCATTCTGTATATAAGTCTCACAATATACAGTTTCAATCTCCATTACACTCTCAGTATTGCCACAAATCTGGAATTGTAAGTTTGGGTCTCTAGCCGTACTATAAGAAAAATTATTTGATAGTATTCACGCAAGTTCATGTAGTGTCTTAACTAAATTTTTATTGGTTAAAACATCGGGACTTTTTTGTTAGTTTTTGAAAGTTAACACGACACTAGTCACGTGATGAGTGGTGTAGAGTATTATGCTAATACCATCAAATAACTTCTCATATCTTAAATGTCAATACCATCTTCCCTGACTTAATTTGCATTATAAATTTATTTTTATTTTTTTTTTATTTTTTTGCAATAATGCTACAAAAATATTAACTAATATACCTACATACATATCAATTACAATAGAAAACTTGTTCATAGGTCTCGGCAATTGGCATGAAATCTACTTATCATTGTGTCTAATGGATGCGTTTATTAGTGTCTCTAATATTATTATATTTCAAGATAATCAATGGGCAATAGCACTTGTAAAATTTAAGCCATGTATACCAAAAAAATTAATAAGAAAATTTAAGTCAGGATGATATCATCTTATTAACAATGAATGTACTTTCATCTTGATATTCAATAGTACTAAAGCACTAAAAAAGTTGACTAAACATTTTATTCAAAAAAAAAAAATACAAATTCATAATTCAAAATTAAAACATAGATAATTTTTAAAATATCATAAACCAATCAATTTAAATGTATTTTCTATATAATTTTTCTATCTGTAAATTATTTTCCAATATGTTACGGAGTTGAATGGGGGAACAACAACCACCTATTTGATTTCAGGTGGGGAATTTAAAGAAACAAACTAAATCACAGGTCCATGTGGTTGGTTAATGGAGGTAGCTGAGAGTTGAGTGATACAATTATTAATAATCTCATTGCAGTAAATGGCTGCTTGCTTGGAATGCCTCATCACTTTGCTATTTTGGCCGCGTCACATATAACATTACCGGCTTAGAACAATTTCAACGAGCTGCTATTTGAATTGTCACATCAAATTTATATTATACCATGTGATGGTTTAATGGAGTTATTATTAAAGTTGTTAAATTTTGACATTATTAGTATTGAAGTAGTTATCATTTGGAAGGTAATTGATTCAGTTAGTCCTTACTGTATTTTTTTTTTTTTAATTTTAGAGAATTTATTTTAATTTAACCTATTTTTTTTAGATAGGGAATCCCAATACAACCCAATGGGTATCTATATCTATTGTCGAAGGTCTATGGTAGTCTCTATTAAGGTTTATTTTGAAAAGTGATTTTTTATTTATTTATTGATTTATTATAAAAAAAATATATGTGTTAAAAACTAAATATATAATATGCCTCAAATAAACTAATAAATTGACTTTTTTACACCTTTCCAAAAGAAGCCTGAACAGGCATCTTTCTGAAACATTATTATGAAGGCATTCACATTGGCATACTTTTGTAAAGTTTTTCTTTTCTGTTATAGATAACAGCCCCAAAGTCACCCATATGTCAAATCACCACTTTGTGTTTCTCATATTGCAAGATCAAGATTTTTTTTTCTTTTTTTTAGGGCTCAATCAAATAGGTGATACTAATTATTGTCAAAATATCATGATGGATCTAGAGGAGAGAAGGGGAGCGATCTCTCCCCAACTATTTTATTTATTTATTTTTACTATAGTTATATTATATTGGTATTAATTATTTTCAAATTATACAAATTCACCCCTTCTAATTTTTTTATTTTATTTTCATATAGTAGACGGCTCCTCTATAGGCTTTTTTTTTTAAAAAAAATTAAGTGGTCATCTCTCTATAGTTTTTTTAAAAAATTAATCTAAGTGATTCCTTAAGTTTAATGTCAATGTTATCATAAATATTTCTAATAACATGAAAAAGCATTGTGTGCAATTTAAGAGACCTCCTTTAGTAGATACATTATTTTACCGTTGTTTTAAAAAAAAAAAAAAATTAAGGGTTTCTCTCTCTATAATTTTTTTTAAAAATTAATTTAAGTGATTCCTTAAGTTTAATGTCGATGTTATCATAAATATTTCTAATAACATGAAAAAGCGTTGAATGCAATTCAAGAGGCCTCCTTTAATAGATACATTACTTTACCGTTGTTATCTTTTATAATGCAATATGAATACAAAAAAAATACTATTTATATATGTTTTTATATTATTTTTCATTTAAATTGATTTTGTTATTCATAATCTTTTTTTAATATTAATATAAATGTACGTTCCTTATATTAAAATTATGGATCGGTCCCCCAACATAAGATACAGCATTCTAATAAGAAATGCTTCTCTAATTTGCTTCAAATGCACACAGTTTGCAATACTCTTTTTCCTCTTTGTGCTTAGTTTTAAATGTCAACTTGGCATTGCTGGGTTAAGCATTTGTAATGACCATTTACCAACCAATTTTGGACTGAAATGCTTCAAAATTCTGGTAACTCTCACCAACCAATTTTGGAGTCAAATGCTTCAAAATTCTGGTAATAACTCACCAAACAAATCTGGAGTCAAATGCTTCATATTAAATTCTAACAACTTTCAACTTAGACAGCAATATAAAGTTAGAGTTTGAATAAAGATTATTATTTTTTAGTTACTCTCCGTTTGTTTCAGCTAACAACGTTTCCTATAGAAAAAAGTTTTTATTTTATTTCATTTTTATGTATGATTATAATGAAACATATGTGCTCATGACTGTATTAGTGACAGTGTTCGTGGTAGCTGTGGGGAGTCCGGATCCTCTCCAACCAAAGCCTCCGGCCGTTCCTCCTGTCAAGGGCTAGGATTTGGCCACGTCAACAGGGTGGATCCTACTGCTCAGATCAAGTTTGGTTTAAAAAAACAAAAAAAATTGAATTTCTTTGCATTCAACCCAACCACAAAGTTTCATGGGGAACTTACTGATAAGTCCCATGTAACAAGTTCAAAACCCAATTAATCCCAAAATAAAACACTTGCACCAATTAGTCCAACACATTTTTAATTGTTACCAAAAAATCTTTTTTTTTTTTTTTAAATTTATAGACAAATTTTGGACTGAAATGCTTCAAAATTCTGGTAACTCTCACCAACCAATTTTGGAGTCAAATGCTTCAAAATTCTGGTAATAACTCACCAAACAAATCTGGAGTCAAATGCTTCATATTAAATTCTAACAACTTTCAACTTAGACAGCAATATAAAGTTAGAGTTTGAATAAAGATTATTATTTTTTAGTTACTCTCCGTTTGTTTCAGCTAACAACGTTTCCTATAGAAAAAAGTTTTTATTTTATTTTATTTTTATGTATGATTAATATAATGAAACATATGTGCTCATGACTAGTGACAGTGTTCGTGGTAGCTGTGGGGAGTCCGGATCCTCTTCAGCCAAAGCCTCCGGCCATTCCTCCTGTCAAGGGCTAGGATTTGGCCACGTCAACAGGGCTGGATCCTACGGCTCAGATCAAGTTTGGTTTAAAAAAAAAAAATTGAATTTCTTTGCATTCAACACAACCACAAAGCTTCATTCTAATTCACTTTTCTCCCTTCCTCTTCAGCTTTGGTGAACGGAGATGGCATCTCGTGACACCGACGATGGTGAATCCAATACTTACTTCTTTTTCATCAATACTTACTTTTTTTTGGGTACAAAAATGTGCATTTATCTTACTTTCAACATGTGCACCTAATGCAGCGACTTGTGAACAACAAAAATCATAAGTTTCCTCAGCTTCTGTAGCTCTACATGCTATTGATCTAAATGAGGTCATCAATGTCTTATACCGTAAGGCTTGTTTGAATTTGACATCTACTTGACTCTCATTCCCCAACTTGTCCGTCACAGCTTCTCCTCTTGCTTGTTTGGTCCACCTCTTCATAATGTATTGTAAATGAATCTCTTTCAACTTCAATATTTCTCTCTCATAACCTTCAAACAGTGACTACACAAAATCCTTTTCCTTTCAAACTTTGAACAACTACAAGCCAAAGAGTCATCCATGTAACAACATCGCCAAATTGGACATAATCCATGATCATTTATGCATCGGCCCAAAACATATTCGTTATTTGCTTCTCATTGTCTAATTGCAAAGCATAAAAAAAAAAGATGGATTCTCCAAAGATTTTTGTTGAAAGTATTGCAACACATTACCTACTTCCCCATACGCTAAACTTTTTGTCTTTTGATTCTCAAGTAATTTTTTTGATCTAATTTCATAAACCCAAGAGACTGCCTCCCACCAGCTTC